CAAAAGTGGTCCAGGAGCGAAGCAGGGAGAGCTCTGTAATTTTTATACAGTATATGATTATTGAATTTGAATATGAAGCTGATATACAAACCTGGCTAGTCGATAATTTAAAATGTGTGCTAATGTGATAAGTGGTGTCCATCATCAATTCTGGCACATTCCATCCCCACTCGATCGCCATAAGTTTCAAACCTAATAAATGACGGTCGACACCATCTCCAAATATGGCCTGAAATATATATAAAATATATTTCAAATTTAAATGTGTTATTAAAATAACTTGTTTTAAAAGTAAGTTGATGAGAGTCTTTGTACTGCTTTGTCATTTTTACAATTGAATAAGTTAATACTGAAATCATCCAAATATCATGGATAAGGGACAAATGAATGGACTGGACAAGAACTGACAGCCGCATCATCATCTGCTGGTGATTGAGAGTGTTGCGGTGCAATAGTGATGGCCACCGCAGCGGGATTCGCTCCATCAGACTAAAGCAAGGGAGATATATATACTGATTCGAGAATACTATTCATTTGTTCTTCACTGTTTTTAATTTAAAGTTCCACCATAAATGTCAGATTTCATGTCAAGTCTAGTGCTAGTTTGAAACAAAGTTTTGAAGAAAAAAATAAAAGACCTACTATGGAATTATTCGTGGGAAGATCACTTAACAAAAAATTAAATTATTTTCTTTTTATTTAACTTTTTGATTCTTATTTCCCTCACATTTTTCTTCTTTTTTTTCCAGTAATTTTTCAATGTCTGTAATGTAACCTTTAATTCTCTAAATTAATTTATTATTTTAATTATTCTTCTGAGTCTTTAATGTGTCAATTATAAGTTTTTTCAATTTGTTAATTATTATTTTAAATGTTTTCCTTAAATAATCAATTTTAAACATTTTCTGATATTTTTTTTTTATTTTTCTGTTTTAATTTTATTGATTTGTGTTAAAGATGTTAAAGATCTAGTTTAATTGTTATTCTTTATTGTATGTACTGAGGGTCCCAATTGATCAACTCTGGCTGGATAGACCACTCTCATAAAATATTGTTGAAATAAATGATAAATAAATACAAGTGTCAGTCCATGATCATGTTTTGTTGGCTTTTCCTATTTTTTTATTTCTGATCTTTTTTTTTCTTCTTCTATCCCGTTTTCCTATGTATTCGCAGAGTGTTTGGTCACTTTCTGTGCTTGATTCTTCTTCAAATTTTGTCCAAGCAAATATCATATATCAAAATGTGTATATTAAAATATGACATCATTCTACATATTTTGAATATTAACAAACAGGTAATTAAACTTTTATGTCAATGCCACTTGCATTTTCCAAAGTGTTTTGAACTAGCTACAGCTATGTTAAATACACAATTACTGTGAAATGCATGAACAATTTTTATCTATGTAAAAATTTAGTGTACCGGTATATATAAAATTATTCAACCAAATTAATACACCAGAGAAGGATTAAAAAAAAAAAAAACACTTTCACTCAACAGAAGGTTTTCTATAATTTTTATCATTACCTGTTGAAAAAAATTCAGGTTAAAAATTTGAAAATTAAGATTTTATTTGGTTACCATTCAATAATTATATTTATTAAAATTCAATTAAAATCCTTGATCTTACCAAATTAGTGTACTCCTTATGTGACTCAATAGCTTGCTTCATTAGCCGAACAAGTTCAGAATTCTGTGAAATCAAAATACATATATAAATACTTTCATAAGAATAACTATTTTTTTGAAATGAGAATTTATAGTAGAAAAATCATAGAAAATTAAAGAATATTGTTGAAGGTTCGCATGGAAAAAAAAAAAGGCTTACCGTTTTGTTGCCGTCTATCATTGATCTAACAAATAGATCAGAATCGGTAGAGCATGACCTGATTGTGTCGGTTCTCCCAAACTGGTAGCGCCTCAACGAAGCACTTTCATATGTTGCACAAGCCTCACCATAGCTTCTGTGGATGAAAAATAAAGTGGATCTTAGGATAACCAAGATCACCAATATCTAACGAACACACTGGAATAACTCCAGCCCAAACCAGTATACGTCAGATGTTCACCACAAAAAGTTAAAAGTACAGTAAAACTATTCCAGACCTATTTATCATGAACTTTTTTATAGATAAGTTAAGATAAATAACTTTCTTTGTTCTTGCAAAATAAAAACAAGGAAATTCCTCTTCCATTGACATACAAAATACAGTAAAAGAATTATAAATAAGAATTCACAACCATGAAAAACATCACAAGGCCTACAAACAGTTAAAATGAACAATAATATAAATTACTACCAATATCCAGTATTTAGTTACCACTGAATCTAACAACACCTTCATTGTATAATAGATGGATGGCGATTTCGCTTCGCACTAAGTTCTCTTAGTCTAATTCCAGACCTCATGAACATAAACAAAGTATATAGTGGATGAGATTGGTCTTTTAAGTATTTTGCATATCTAATTCTATTATCTAATTCTATTCCCATACATCTTTGTGCCATCTTCCTCACTCTCTCCATCTTTTTCTTATTATTACCACCAAAATCACCAAAGGTGCAGACAATGCCAAAAATAAGCACACTCTGTATCACAGATTGGTAGAAAAGTTTAAGAATTATTCTCTCAACATTTTAAAACAATCGTAATTTCCTAAGAAAGTACATCCTCTGACTGGCCTTTTTAACAATATTTTCACAATGTGTATCCCATTTTAGTTTTTCATTAATCGTAACTAAATAAATATCGCAAATATTTAAATTAACTGACTCTCTCAACATTATTACCATTAATTTCTACATTTTTATGTTCCGGATGTTGCAACTGAAAATCACTTCTTGATTAACAACAACCATTGAAAAATTGCCAATTTAATGATAATGTTGACATAAAAAAAGGCTTGAACTACTTTGACAGGCTGTCTAGATGCAAACATTCTTAGTGCATCTGTGTGTTGTGATCTTTCCAACCACTGCATGCAGTGGTCTCAATTATGGTTTCTCTGTTCAGATTATATTAGTCTTCCAAGTTAGTTTTAGGGTACAATAAAATATCTTTTTCTTTTTTCAGTCACAGTGCATGAGACCATAATGATATAACAATTCTGTTCAGAATGCTAAAACTAATGTTATAGTTTTATTCATTGTAACTCACATAGTTAAAGTTGAATGTTTTACTGATATATCAGGTTCTAATCTTCTAAACTTCTAATCACAAATTTAGCAACATATGCCTTCCTGAGATATGATTTAGATCAATGTTCCGCAACCTATGGGTCGCGACCCAATGTTTGGGTAGTGGACAAATTTTGATGGGTCGCATATCTCTTAAGAAATAAAATTACAGTAAACGAAAGTGCAATTAAATTGGGGTATGTGTGTCAGTTAATTTTTTTAATGCGTGCGTTAATCATGTTTCATGTTAAAAATGTACTATCAAAACATTTGTACTTCAGGTATTGACAACTTGAAGGTGTTAGTTTTATTTAATTTCAATGTGTTCGGCTTTCAGCTGAAAATTACAACAAATATTTTTCAATTTAATGTGTCTATGTCTTTGCATAACCCATACATACAAGTTATGTTTTAATTTTTACAGGTTTTAAATTGATGTTGTGGGGATGGTATTTTTTAAAAGAATCAAGGGGGTGATTCTTGTGATAACCGCTATCACTCGCGCGTATAAAACAACGGATTTATTGGCTTCAGGTTTGACGGGTCGAGTCTGAGTGCTTGACATGTATTTGGGTTGCAGAACGGGGATTTAGATAGATCAAATACCAAACATACACTTTGTAAGATTAATTTATAATCAGATAAATTTTGTCTGAGTAGGTTTAGGAAAGTGGTAATGCCTTTATATCTGACAGTACTAATTGTAGTGTGAGAAAAGATTCCAGATCTCACATGAGAAATTCCCATTAGATATATTACGTACTTGAAGTAGGCCAGCTGGAGAGCAATCTGGATGAATCCATCAGGACTAAGTTTATTAGCCTTCACAAAATCCTTGCCAAACAGTTTGAACTTAAATATGTGAAGATCAAGATCCTCAACCATACTGAAAAATATAAAATACACAATTAGCAAAAATGATGCTATGCAAATGTATGCATTGCAAGTGCATTAACATTTGTGGTTTAATTACAAAAAATACAACTAAGAATACAATTGAACCCCTATTAAAGGGGATACCTTCTGGACCAAAAAAAGTGTCCCCTCAATAGAGGAATGTCCACTGGACACTAACCAAAAACGTGAAGCTGTCCCCTTAATATTTTCATGAAATTCTGATTTTTTAATACTTTTATTTTTATATCAGTATAATTGAGTTTATAAAGATAACAGGAGCTATCAAAATATGTTTTATTTTATTATACTGTATGTTGATAAAATTTTGTTCTGCAAGTCAAACCTTCATTGGTTGTACATCATGTTCTCATTGTTTTTACATGTTATTTTTACTTGGAGGACACATGCATTTCCACCCGTCAATATGTGTTTGAATATATGTGTATACATAATGTACAAAATTTTTGTGTATAAAAGGAATGTGTTCATTACCTATCGATAGCTATTTTAGCATTTTCAATAGCCTCTTGTACATCAGGATTGATGTTGAACATTAGCCTCTTTGCAGGAGCAGGCTGCTCTTTACTGGGTGAGATATGATCTCCGACGTTGTCACTAAAAAAAAAACCAAAACAACTAATCAGCTTTCTATACTAGTATACCGTAAATGCTCAAATAAGCACTGCGGTGCTTATAACATTTTTAGGAGCTTCAGTGTGGTGCTTATTCGAGAGCGGCAACTATTGGCGTGGCGCTTTCCATGCCTGTTCCCATATTACCCATCTCATGTATTCCCATAGTTCAGTAGGCCTATCATCCTACGTCATTGTAAATTAACATTTATAAAGAAATGATTGTGTCTTCATTTTGTTTTTATTCATTTTAACATTGTATACATTGTATTTAAAACCTCTCAAAATGTTTCATTACACACAGGGTAATATTATACTCTTGTTTATCGCTGCGGTGATTTTTTTTCTAGAGCGGTGCTATGCAAAGAAATCAGGTTTGGTGCTGCGCTTATTTGAGCATTTACGGTATGTGTGTTTCGGAGAATATAAGACATAAAGAGTGTAGTAATAAGTTTATTAATAAGTTTACCAGTATGCCAATATATGATCAAGAAATGTTGCAATTGGTGGTCCTTCTGCAGGGGCATGCTCATACTGTAGGCCACATCTACCATTAGGGCCAATTATAACCTGAAATGCAGCATCAAACAATTAAACAATGTATTTCAAATACATTGTAATCAAACATTTATCACACACATCTGTAACTCTATTCTTAATTAGTCCAGGGTTACGAATCACACATTTTGTTACGAAGCTACAGGAGTTTAAACATAAGCTGTTTAAAGAACAGTACTTGAGAAACCAGCCTTCAAAGTTTACGATTACAGCCATCTCTCAGGCAGAGACCATCACAAAATTATTTAAAAATGTTGTTTTATCGTCAAACACAGCATGATGAAAGATGTAGTTTAATGCAATACAATAGATTTAGAAAATGTTGACACTTCAACATGTTTTAACAATTACCTCCACAACACTATTTGCGAGGAGGTGTGACTGGTTTGGCCAATTGCCCTTGGCACATACACACCAGATTTAAACTTTTTCATTGAATCTAAGTAAAGTTATCTGTGAATTGTGTTGGCCATTTTAGTAATGGCTACCAAAAAATGTGTTCTGCCTTTTTGTGGTGGTTCCCCTTGGTCAACTTTTTTTTATACTAGTAATGCTACGTCAGTAGATAAAGTTTGGTTCCCCCAGAAAATTGTCAAGGAGGTCCTGGTTTTCACTATAGGCCTTTATTGCTTAAAATAAAAATAATAGTATTTTTCTCCAAAATCTTTTTTTATTACCTGTAGAGTCTTATCAGCCCACCTGTTGCCACTGTTAAATTGGCTTCCACCTCCATGCAACAACTGGCGTCCAAATTCACTGTCAAGTTCTTCTTCAGGTACGGATTTAAATTTCTCATCCAAACATAACAATACAAATCCGCGATTAATCTTGTCAAACGTTGTACGATTGGTTCGATCTTCATAGACAGAAAAGAAGAAAAGTCAAGGAATGCTCATTTCCAGCCATCTAGGAACTAACATTTTAATTTTTTTTCAAACCCCCTTATTTAAAATTCTAGATCTGCACATGTCAGTGATAATGTTAAGATAAATTAAACTTACCTTGATTTCAAATTGTTCAAATTATCTATATTCTATTCTAAGATTGGTACATATCTATACTGCAGTCACAGATACCTGTACAGTACTTTTGTACACATTGAAATGTAAAAATGTGTGCTGTAAGTTTTCTAGCTTTCCGGAAGTAACTTGCACAAGCAGCACCACCATCGGTGTAATCTCAAACATTTATATATTCATATTTTTAAAATTTATTTCTTTCACATCCAACAGCAAGTATGTCACTTGCCACTTATAGGATGGAACGATGCTTTCTAAACTAAAGTCTATTAAGAGGCTTAGGGAGTGGAGTTGTTTTTGGTAGTGAGAAAAGTCCTGCTGTGACAGGAATTGAACCCTGGGATTAGAAGGCAAGCATCCACTAAACTACAGTATTTAACTCCACTCCAAACTAAACTATGGCATTATACTATACAATAACACCATATCTTATAATATAATGTCGGGATATGGTAATGTAATATCCAGTACGAGTTTAATGTTAAAAATAAACCCAAAATTTAAAGATCTTATGCACAGCTAACATGATGACATGTATACAGTAAGATTGTGTGCATATTTTTTTAAAGTGAGGCATGTTGTAGCAAAATGGTTAAGTTGTAGCAAAAATTGAAATTGAAATTATTGGTATTTTCAGATACCTGTGTATGTGATCATTAAAATGAGCGGCTATTCATTGAAATTGGACATATATTTCAAGCCAAAGTTCTTGGAAAATGAAAGTACAGCACTCTTAAGTCAAGATAAACATGATTGTGAGAAATTGCCTTCCAAAGTTATTTGTGCATTCATTAGAATTAACTATCAAAATAACGTTAAATAAACAATTTGTTGACCACTTCAGAACTAATACTTTGGGACATGATTATTAAGACATTAAACTTTCGATCTATAGTGAAAAACAAATTTGGATTTTTAGGCAATTAGGCGCCCATAATTTATAGCTCATATACTCAATACTGGCCTTCGCGACAACTTAACCATTTTCGCCACGACATGCCTCAAGTATTTGTGTTTAATACAAACTGTGTCTTGAGACACACAAAGAAATACATAAGAATTTTGACAGATTATTGTTTGCATAGTAATATTCAAAGTAAATTAGTGCTTTTCATATGTAATAACAAACAAGGTGCAAGTTTCATGGGGCTGAGGTGGTATTTCTTCCATCTGTGAAAGTTCCTCACTATGCTCGCCACTGAAAACAGCACATGCATCTTCAGAAATCGATTAAATATTAAGACCTCAAATTATCAAAAATGCTTGAGCTCCTCCACCTCAACCCCAGCAGGGTTTCTTCCCCTAAGCATTCCCCCCTCCTAGACAGTTTGGTCCACAAAATTACACCCGCCCAATAAAAATCCTGCGTATGGGCCTGGTACTGTATTGTCTTGTGAAATTGAATTGTCACCTACAAGTAGGACAGTGATATATTTGTGATTGACAATCCTTGATGCATGTGTTGTGTACCCAAATAAATAAATTTCAAAAAATAAAATAAATGTAGTGGTATTGATTTCAACAAATTCCAATCCATCATTTCATTTCCGATTACTACAAGAGTATTGCCTTATTTGACACACCTTGTTAAAATATTTTAAAAAAAATCATACCTTTGCTCATTTCGTTGTATATTTTTCCCCAGGTGTTTCTATTCTCTGAGGTGAGAATACCAACAGGTGTACTGGGGTTTTTAGATTTATTAACAATGTTACACAGCTGATGATAAATTTCGCTTCGGGTTAATGGTGTCCACCCATTCTTGAACAAATCTAAGGAAAAGAACTGCAAAGAAATTATGAAATACATTATTGTATAAAAAATGAGAAGATAAACAGTTTTAACTTTTTATGTACAAACATATTAAATAGCACTAGTAATTTTGTTTTACTGTAATTCTATTGTGTACTCTTGTAATTGCAACTTGCAATTTGTCCCTTGGCCTAGATAAGTTGCACATGAGTACAGTACCTTTTTGAATAAATCAAACACAGTGATATATGTTCCCGACAGCTTATGCTACGTTCATTAGAACTTGTGAAGTCGGTGTTTCCCAGTTCACAACTTGTGAAACGCGTTCATCTGGTCGAACTCGAATAGAATTTTCTTCCTCGATTTGCAGAAGTAGTGTGGAAAATGGCGGATGTGACACAAACGAACAGATGTATTTATTGCAATTTCTTTAAGTAATATTATTTCGGATAAAAAAAAAAGAATTTTTTGTATGTTTGATTTGCACTGTATAACATTCTGAAATGCACTTTACGGAGTCCTAATTCAAGCTAATTTAACATAGGCTAGGCCTAGGCCAAGGAGCACATCCGTGTGAGGGCGCTTGTCTAAATCCTGAATAGGAAGAAAAAATGCCATTATTTTACCATTCGTCAAATGAATGCACTCTTCTCCTGTTCTTGCATGTTACAAGTTGTGAAATCAGTTTTCACAAGTTCTAATGAACGCAGCATTACCGAGGTGTGATTTTCTAGGACAAATATAATGGTCATTTCTAATGAAAAGGCAGTCATTTTCGTTTAAAATCTCTTGTTCTCTGCTCTGTTTGCCGCAGTGGTAATGGTTTGCCACAATGAATTAGAAGCATCACAAGGGTAGGCCTTCACATGATGAAAAGCCCATATCCCTATTATATTACCTTTGAAATACCACAAACATACTTGTGCAAGTATCCATGTAGCCCTAGTCATGTATAAAATGCACTGAGAATCGACAAATACCCCAGTAGGGTGTTTCAGAGGTCATTTGGTATTAAGTGTCCTCTACCTAACCAGGGGTGAATCAATTGTTTTTTGCCAGATGCGCAAAAAGGTTCAGTCATACACTTAGTTTCACTGTGATTTCAAAGCAATCATATGCCATGTTAGGCCTTAATTTATGTTGTACTGTATGCTTCATGTACATAAGATCTTTGAATGATATTATTCATCTCTAGTGAATTGTAAACTACAGTACAGAAAGCCAACGTTTACCAATTGTACCAGACGGTCCTATCTTACTCTAGGCTTACTGTTCAGGACTACGACATTGAGCGTTTGGGCGCCTGTGCCGCTGCATAATATTAGCACTAGTAATTACCGAATCTGGTACTAAACAAAATAATGAGATCCATGTAGCTTTGCTTAGATGCATAAATGCCTACCTTACATTTATCTTTATTGTTATTAAATGTGTAAATATTTATACCTGGTTATTGTGAGCAACAACGATATGTTTTGAAGAATTGCTTCCATCTGCTGGGTAGGTAACAATTGAGTCTATTTTACGTCCTGGAATGCGGCATGACGACAAAATCTTATAGTATTGATCCATGCACAGAGGTGAACCACCTAGCTTATCAACTGGAAGGGTTTGGCTGAAAATAAACATCGAGTTTCATTTAAAATAAACAAAACAACAGATTCTACATGCAATATTTATATGTATATGCATATTATTTCTATCACTTTTATTCATCATTTACTAAAAGACCTTTACACAATAAATTGAACAATAAAAAAAAAATATCCCACACTTGTCATATTAACATGCAGGGGTACCACAAGACAGATACGACGTAAACAAATAACATCAAGAAACAATGTAAAACAAGAAAATTACTAGACAAACAGCACTTTTCACACTAACAAATTTTATTAAGCTTTCAATCATGCAGTAAAACAAATAAATAAGGAAGTATTGTCAAGCAGTTAAAGGACATGGACCAGACCTTCCCAAAAAGCAGAGAACGGGTCTTAACAGTTGAACCATGTTGAACAGAGGTGGGTTTGTCAAGGTGGGTTATCTGTGGCGTAATATATACTATGATGAAGCTTATAAAAAAATAAATTTTTGAAATTTTGTCTTTAAGAGGGAAAGGCTTTTGAACAGTTAATGGTTTTATTTATACAGTAGTTTTAAGGAATTTATTGTATCAGAGAAAGATGAACCCCTGGAACCCACCTCCTGAGCAACAAAATCGACCACCTTGAACCTAGAATGTCCGAAATCAGTGGTACAATTTTGTTGGTTTTGAATGTATGAGCATTATCATTTCTTAATTTCTATGTACAGTATATATACAAACAGTACTATTGTATTTCAAGGATAGTGGGTAACTGAATCATAAGTTGACATATTCTGTATTATTAATTTTTGTTTTATATTTTACGGACATAACTCTGATGACGCATCGAAAATAATGACTGAGAAATGTGTCAAGTTTTTTCACCATGACTTTAATTAATCCCCTTGTTCCACTATTGTACAAAAGTAAGGGTTTAACGAGTGCCTTAAAACTTTTCTTTTTACTTTTGTATTATATTTCCATAACCACTGGTTCACCAATTAGAGAGCAAGTTTTTATTAACATTTCTCTAGACCCTCATCCTCAATACAGCCTCTTTTGATGCATGTGAACATTATCTCTAATAACGGCAAGCTCCAATTCTGGTAGATTCTGTTAATTTCCTTGTGGTATTTCGACAGGGAGATAAAATCATCACCCTGCTTATGTTAGTTTTGAGGGGTTGTTGGCAATATGGGCAGTATGTGATTGATACAGTACAAATTCAAGGGAGATTGATATGAAATCGCACTTTCTTTCATTAATGGGTAAATATCTCTGATTGATTCTAATTTTCAATAAACTGTGGCAAATTACAAACTACAGTATATCTTTGTAAATTCATTTATAATGCATATACAGTAGTTGAGAAATTTTATTTAGTGTGCAGAAAATAAAAGATTGTAATCATCAACAAAGCTTTAAGACATATGTGAGGTCTCACCACGAAATCATTTTGAGATAATCACCAAAATAGGTCAAAGTCAAAATTTGTACACAATTTTGATTTTAGGCCATGGGGTGAAGCTCAAAAGACGTCTAGAAAACGAATTCCGTTCCGATCTTTTCATAATAAAAAATTTAGGCCTACAATAGTTAAGTAATATGTATTGAATCAAATATAAAAAGTTCTACAAAAATATCTTCTGCAATTTTAAGAAAATTACCGTTTTATTACGTTCGTAGGCTACTAGTCGTTGGAAAACACACCGCGATACAGCGGGGTAGAAGCACGTCGCGATCATACCATGAGCTGTCCACTTGCGTCAACTCGCATGAAATCGCGTCATTTCAGGTCAAATCGTGTTAAGTTTATATCGGATTGCGTCAGTACACGTCAATTTGCGTCAACTTACAGCATAATTATTGAGAAATTTCAACGAAAAAACTTATTTTATTATTGTAATTGCAATTCTTTGATATTCTTTTTCAAAACAATAATTGTGTAACAATTTTTTTTTAAATATATTAGTATTTTGACTCCTGTGGTCTTCTTTTTGACAATGTGTCTGCATCTTCCCTGTATGTGTATTTACTTATAAGTACACACTTTATTCTCACAGTATTTTTATATTCATATTCCTTTTTTTAAATTATTGTATTTATTTTACTTTCTAATTGTAATAAAGGATGAAATATAGGGAAATTTAAACTTGATGCATTGTTATGATATGCATGGATGTATATTCGTGTTGTATACTCTGGTTGACACATTAAATAGAAATTAAAATTTAATACTGCAATATGAAAAATTCATATTTATTTCTCAAATATCCTGAGAACTTCTCCTCCCTTCCTCTGAACTTGCTTATACAATATATAACTCTATATTTATGTACACATGTTATACATCTTAATAAAAGCTTCTTGCACTCTAGTGGGTCCGTTACTTTTTAAATTTTCTATATCTTACTTAATAAATACGGTGAAGCATTTCGCAGTCCTTTGTCATTGTGTGATTATGCTAATGATTCTAAAGTTCTCAAGGGTTACGCCGTTACGTTATACTTTTTTTAAAATTTTGTACATCATACATAATGAATAAAAATAGATAATACTTTACGTACTCCTGTGTCATTGTGTGTTTAGTCTCA